CGAATCGATCGGTCGGGTCGAGTTGCCGATTCGCAGACTGACTGGTCACAACAGCGGCATTTGCCCTCGTCGTCGGAACAGCGATATATCGCACGAGGCGAACACCGTTACGACGATGACACTGTTGCCTGTGATGTATCTGGGGCAGCAGATGGTCGGTTTGTTGATTACAGGTTACACCAGAAAGCGAGTGCGACAAAAGATGGAGGAGTCAAGGGTAGCGTCAGCCAAAACGTTGAGGTTGACGGATTTGAAAAGAGACTAGGAAGCAAGCCAGAACAGGAGTGACAAAGCGAGGGACCATTTTTTGTACGCGTACAATGCACCGCAGTTGTTTCTTGTGAACCGAACAAGTGCAGTGTAAAAAAATGCTGCTGCTGCTCGTGAGGTCGCAGAGGCGACAGTTGGCGCACCCGTGACATGGGAAAGACGTCTGTCGCGTCGCGTCGCGCCGAACGATCCGCGAGTAAGCAAGCGGGCGGGGCGGGCAAGAGGTAGCAGCAAGGCAACGCGAATTCGAGGCGACCGATACTGACGCTCTGCGGGCAGACGCCCGGGAGACAGCGGCGGTAAAGCTTCGTGTTGACAGTAGACAACCATCAGGCACGCTAGTACCGCCGCGTCGAGCGTCGGTACATCGGTCGGTGCCTTTTACCATGATGCGTCGCGCGCTCCATTTGTTTTCTTTACCTGTGTCGCACAAAATTTAATTTCTTACCATGAAAGATGCCGCCAGTCATTGTCTCATTAGTTTTAACCATCGAGTGGTCCCGATTGTGTCCTTTGCCCGACGATCGTCATCGCTGAGATCGAATTAGGAAGTAAGGTTGAAAAGCGCGTTCAGCGACTGACCATTTTCCTGTACATTCAGCTTTGTTTCCTTAGCGTGATTTTGCCCTGTGTTGAATCTCCTCGTACAGATCATCACGTAAACATCATGTAAACAGTTCCTGCCTTGCCATCTGCATCTGCACCATCCCAGCTACTTAGACGTCGTAATCATGCTCCCAACACATCCTCATCCTCCGATCGGCGTATCGTGCAACTTGTCATAATTGTCACTGAGTAATGGGTCATCGGCAGATGCGCTGTCACGCGAAACTGGTGCGCATAATTTTTGCCGTTTTCGTTGACAGGCGATAAAATCTGTCGCACTGTCACAACGCGGAGGCTGAAGACTACAACGGCACTGCCCCCCCCCCGGCAGAGCCGTCGTCTTTTGCTACAACAATGCCGTTTTGACTGGTTTGGTCCCGCGACGCCGTGTTCGACCCGTTCGCCATTGATCGACACGACGTTCCTTGCTTTCTTTCTTTCCTCCTGCCACAATTCGCCATAACGACTGAGTGTCGTCGTCGTCCGACAGTAACTTTCGCGTTCTCCGTGATTCCACCTCTTCCACCTCGGCATAATTTCTCGACTGCTGGCCGCAATCGCTGTGGCGGCGCATACATTCGCCGGCGAGCCGCTGGGCTTTTCGCATCTCAAAGTGTTAAAAACTGTCGAATATCCACTGACAGTATGAAAAACCGTTACGAAAAGAGTTCATCGTTCACATTCCCGTCGATGACAACTGTTTCATTTCCTTCCGTTCTTCCACAAGGCGACATAGCTTGCGGTTCATTTGCCTTTTTAAACTCCCTGTTTATGTGCTTCCTCACTCCAGTGCACTTAATTCGATTGCGCTACCAACAGCTTGTGCATCGTGTAGTTAATCGTCATATTTAATACAGCACTGTCAAACACGGAGAAATTTTCAGTGAAAAACGTTAAGTCCGGTAACAGATGTTTTTGGCAACAAAATTTATTTAAAACGACAAGAAGCAATGGAAATGTTTTCAGTTCGCAAAATTTTCAT